AGAGAGATGGAAAGGAAAGAGAGTGACAGAGTAAGGCAATATTATTTGTTGATAGCAATTTGGGCGGTGAACGAATGTTGGGGTGTTAAGACAAGGGCCTAACCCCACAATTTTAAAACCGCGAACGTGTCCACTACAATTTTTGATACCTTGCAACGGTCAGAAATCTAAGCCAAAACTCCTAAGAAAAAAAAAAGAGAAAGAGGGAAAGGTGTAAATAGAAAAGAGGAAAAACGATGAAGAAGAAAGGTGAAAATAAGTATATGGGAAGGCCATAGTAGTAATTGAAGACGCTTTTTTACCGATGAAGGATTGGGGATCTTAAAACAAAACCAGAGCTGAATTACGCTGATTTATGCTTAAGTTTCTGTTATTTGTTCTGGAATAAACGTAGTATGTAAATTAATAAATGATCATTTAAATGGAAAATGTTTGTATGTCAAATGCATTAAAAAATAAATTCTGGAAATCTGCTGGGACATTACTGTAACGATTGGACCAATTAGTCCATGTCACGTTAACGGAAGAAAAAAAAAACAAAAAACAAAACACTTAAACAATAAAATCCGTGAATGACCACATTACTATGTTCAAAAACATTCTCACTTACAATATTCAAAATAAAACTCTAGCATCGCGATTCTGCACGTTCCCAAATTTTGTAACTGTTAATAATAACACACTTTAAAAAAAGAATCTTTTAGCCTGTATTTATTTAAGTTAGTGAAGTGAATTCGCCATTAATTACGTTAACTTTACTGATTTGTTCTTTGTGTGCGTGTGTGTGTGTGTGTGCGCGCACGCGCGTATGTGTTGTACATCTGTGAGAAAATTAGAGGCTCCAGAGTGTTTCTATCAACGATGTTTATAATAGATTCTCGAAATTTTGGGGGTATCTCACACACCAGACACTGCGTGCTTCGTAAAGGCCAATGCAATCAACACTGAAGACCAGATTTGTTACAACAAACTTCGCCAATCAGGCCATGCATTAGTGTTTATGACAGAAGAATACGTCAACAAATCCTGTATTTTTTTTTAATTTTCAAGCAATTATAGAGAAATCCTACATATCTACGTAACCTTCAAGTATATAAAAAAAAATGGAAAAGCAACGGACCTCATTGTTAGAGTTCGTCTCACTCAGCTATATAATTCTTAATATTTACAAACTTAAAAAGCAAGATGACAACTGTAGGACACCGAATGTAGTACAAAACTCACTGCCTTGAAAATGGCTCAGGGCTTCTTACTCGTTAACCATTGTTCCATAATATAGCGGCTTTCTCATCATGCATTAATTAGCATAATGTGAAAACTAATACATCTTGAAGATATTTGACAGTGTTTGGTATACCGGTTTTCTTCAAAAGTTGAAAGGCTATGAGATTTCTGGAGGAATTTTTGAACTGGTTCAATAAATTGTAATTCAATTCAATCTTATCAAACCACAAAATAAAAATTGCCTTGAATGGCACTTTTCTCGATTTTTTTGTATTAACGTAAGTTCCCTACCTGGCCTTGAAACTACTTTGTCCCTAAATTTCATCATCGTCCTTTCTGATGGCTTCGGCTCCCAAATCGGTATCTATGCTGATAACACAAATATTTACTCCTGTCTTAATCGTAAGACTGATCGGTTCGACAATTTCAAATTAGCAGCTGATCCCAAAAGTGACCTAAAATCTTTTGTTGACTGTGTCAAAGAATGGCTTGGTTATTTCAACGCTTTCAAAAAAAAATGCTTTCTGTTAATCATCTGAGAGACACCTTTCTGCTTTCTATAATCATGGCTTATGCTAACCCCCAGGAAAGTGAATCGTTGCACCTTTTCTGGCGAACGTTTCCTGCTGATATAAAGTGGAAAGATTATATTGAATCACTTGTTAGGTCTGCTGCTCGAGAAGTGTGTTCACTGTATCGTATTAAACGACTTTTTTTCTCTCCAGAATCTGTCATATTTTCAATCTACCATTCGTTCATGCTTCGAATATTTCTGCCACATATGGCCTGGTGCTTATCTCTAACTATAAAAGGCAGGATATGTGTGTGTGTGTGTGTGTGTGTGTGTGTGTGTGTGTGTAACGAATGCGCGGCCTCAATTTTCGACGGATTTGCACCAAAATTTACATGCACATGCTCCAAGTTAGCGCGAAGGCCAAGACCGACTTTGCATTTCTCAACTCCCATCGATAGTGGAAATAATCGATTTTTTCATGCTTCTACGGCAGTTTTCATGTAATTTGCGGCCATTTTCTACTGGTCAAAGTGAGAACCTATAGCTGGCTGCCACGAATAGGCAGGAAGATTCTATTGGCCAGCGTAAGAGCCAACAGTTGACTGACACGAATGTTAACTAGCATGCTAGCATTCGATAGCTGCATTCGTCACAAGTGGGAAAAATTTAAATCTGCATGGCACTTTATTCCAATTGGCTCATTCGCTTGCTTAAACTCAACGTTGATTCTAATTCCGCAGAACTGGGTTGGGTGTGAAAAAGTATTTGTTGTTAACATTCTTTTTTCATTCGGTTTTTTCAGTTACGAGTCCTTTTTTTAAAGCTGATCGTTTTGTGTTCATTTTGTTTAGTTCTTTTTTCGTAACAGATTTAATGTTTAGTATAGAGCTTAGAAAAATTCGCAGTGTGAGAAGTAAGGCATGTAGCAACATCAGCACGGCAAAAGGCACTCCTTTAAAGGCAAGGAAGGGCAAAAATATTTTAAGTCAAGTGATAGCTATTGCTGTATGAGTCGTACGATTTTTGAATCAAGCACGGGCAACACCGGGCCATGCTGCTAGTACTATATACTTAGAGATTCTTGATAAAAATCATCTGAAAAATCTGCAATGCTATTGTCTCTGACCTGGCATCTCGGCTTCAGTCCCTTTCCCACCCGTATAATGTTGCTTCTCTATGCCTTTTTTCTAAATAAATATTTCATGTTAATTCTTCTGATGAACTCTGTTCTATGATACCAAGCCTTGATGGATTTAAGCGTAGTACTAGATTGATAATAAAGTATTATTAATTCATAATTGAATTGACTAGATGGAAACATGGTTCTTTGCTAACAGTTTCCTTTCTCGCACTTCTCGCCCGTGAAACCCCTTTCTTTCGAGCCAGCTTTTATCTTCGCAAATTTAAATGCAAAGAAATCGGGCATCTATTTTTTTTTCTTTCCTCTGCTTTTATTTTTTTCTCCCCCCTTAATGTTTTTCATTTTCTCACTCTGAAACCATTTGTTTTTTAGTGACTCTTACACTAACCTTTCATTTACACTTATAAAGAAGGATTAAAACTGCTTGTGAATATATGATTTTCGTGTCTTATAAAATGTGCGAAGTTATTTTATACGTGTAACTGTTGTGGTAGGATCCACCTAATTTGCATAGTGGAGTACCGACCATATAAATATGGTTGGTATGGGGAAGAGTGGGGGAAATCAAGAGATTCACTCTCAGTCGAACTCTCTGCATTTTGCAGTGAGGGACCCGGACGAGGCTTTGTCGAGAGGCAGGGTTTCGTCCGGGGTGGTAGACAGGCCTTGAACCCGTCTAGGCGGGTTCAGAAAGGCCATATTTTTGGCCGAGCATACGGGCTCGGAGATACCCACTTTAAACCGGCCTTGTGCCACATTTTATCCTCGTGAGTGGATAGATAAATACAGGAATCAAGAGATTCAACCAGAGACTCTGCCCGACTGCGACTCAGTCAACACATTCTCCAGGAACGGTCTTACCAGGAATATACAAAAGACTATATGTAAATATTGTGTACACTTTCTTGTTTCAATACATTTTGTTCTAAGTACATTTTGTGTTGCATTATTATTCCATGCATTAGTCAAGTTTCAACAGTAAAAATGTTAATGTTAACAAATTTCCAGTCAGATTTTTTTTTCAGTACAAAAGAAGCAACATTTTGAGGTCTTGGCAATTTAAGTCCTTCTATAATGGTTTCTTTAATGTAGCTGAAAAGACGAACTTTCGTAACAATAACATTATAATGAACGTCAATTCTACAAAAATATTAAAAACAGTTTTAAAGTTGAAAGCCCTTTCGAAAATACAATTTATATTCCTACGTTTACTTATTTTTATTTGATTCATATATTGGATTTAAAAATTTAATTTTGTTTTTTAGGTGAATACAAAAAATGAGAATGTTTTAAATAAATACATTTAATTCGCTACTACATTTTAAGTAAGCAAAAGGAAAAAAAATAGTAATTAAAAAAAAATCATTTCGATTAAAGTGTTCGATTGTATCTAAAATACACGTATTAATAAGAAGAAAAAATACCATTTTCACGCATCATTGTCAGTTTTCTGTCACTATAGCAACGTGCTAGCTTTTATGCAAAATTTTTGAAAATGTTTTAAAAATATTATTTTCTCACTCTCTTCATACCTTTGTTCAAATCTGATTTGTTTCAATGTTTGTATTTTAAATCGATTGATTGATTGATACAATTTTTTGCGTCTTAACAATCACTTGCAGGTTATTTAAAGCCAGACACTGTTTATTTTATTGTAATATTTTCTTTTCGTTTCGAAATAATAATGGTTTAGTGATACAGCTGTTAATAATTAACCCATATCTGGGGGAGAAAAGGTGGATTCATATTTTGCCAAGGGTATTTGTACGTAAGTGAATATATATGTTTTGTTGCGTCGCATTATATATGGATTTTTACGGAGAAATGTTGCACCAGGGTTTTTGTGCATACCTATGTTGGTCAGTTTTGTTTAATGACACATCAACCTCTATGGGTTATTTAATGCCGAAATCTATACAATTTATACTCATTTTTTAGAGAGTAACGGTTTTAGCGATACCTCTTTTACTAATTAACCCATACCTGGGGAGAATAGGTGGATTGGCACCTTTCCTAAGGTTATTTGTAAGTAAATGTAACAAACTCGACGGGAATTGGAACTTGGTGCTCTCTGATTAAAAATTCCAAGTCATTATCTATTACACCACCTGCACATCCAAGCTTACAGCACCTGGTATTTCCAAACGGACACTCATCTAGGTACTGACCAGGCTTGACGTTGCTTAACTTCAGTGATTGTACGGGAACCGATGTCTCAACATGATGTGACCCTAAATCTGTATATTTAAAATATTAGACCTAACTTTGCTTTCACTCAAAATATATATGACCTTTCCATTTAGATTTATTTTTCTTCTATCTCTGAAAACGAACTTATTTACTGTCTCGTCAATAAACAGGAACTTCGAATAATTAATGTCTATATTTTTGACAAGATAAATGATTTACCATCAGTTTCACTACTACTGTGATAAGGTCCCTGTCGACTGAAGGCGAAGGTGTAAAATGGCCATTGTGTGACGTTATTGGTCGATTGATAAGAGAACACGAAGTCTTTGAGAATTGGAGAACGGTACAAGTAAACAGAATGTTTTCTTATATTATCAGTTGGATTCCAAGAATATCGTAAGCATTGAGGAAATTTTAAAGAAAATGGCAACAAAAGATCACTTATCATCAGAATTAAAAAAAAATAACTGCTGACATTTCTTGGACACATGAGAAAGGAGGGCTTGGTAAACTTAACGCTCACAGAACATATTGAAGACAAGAGATCTAGAGGAAGGCAGTGAGCATTTTAGCAAAGGGAGAAAAAAGCTAAAACCCAAAAGGAATAGAAAGTTGTGGAGTGTCGTGATCGCCTAGTGATACGACACATAGACGAAGATCCTTTGGTTATGCATACGTTCACTGGAAACAAATGTCAAGTCTCGTCAAGACCATTCTTTTACAATATTCTCCACATTACGACTTCCCACATTAACGACTTAAATAATTGAAAATATGCAGATGAAACTGTGTTGTTGATAGACTCAGAAGGCAGACTGAAGCATTTTTTTAACAAAACCTGCCCATTTTATGTTTTATTACCTACGAGTGTATCTGTGTCGTCAAGAAAGACAACTGTTAAAAAGTTTAATAATGAAATGCAATTTAATAAAAGTCTCGAAAAAATGTATTGATATTCAATAAATCGGAGATAAAGAATTCACAACTAAAATAAAGTAAGGAATCGTTTAATTAATCCATTCCTTTTATATTTTTAGAAGATCAATGCTTTTTATGATTCTGTTGATTACATCTGTTATTATATAAATCGCACTTCTCATGTTAAACTTTTTATATGTTTAATATAGCAGTGAAATAGAAATATCTCCCGGGCGGAAAATATTATCAACAGAACAACAAAGAGAGGGACAACAAAGCCTATTTCAAGACCCAGTTGAAGCAAGACAATTACATAATAGACAAAGGTATCAGTGTACCTCACATGAAATGCTTGAAGAAATAAGACTGCAATCTAAGAAGCATACGAGAAAAAGAACTGATTAATTAAACGGTTCATTTTGCTCTGGAAATAGTTTTGTCTAAATGCAGATAAATATTTTATTTGTATAGATTATTAAAACGACCAATCTAAGTAATCAGTCATGAATTTACTAACTTGATTTACCTCCCTTACCAGTACAGATGGGACAGAAAATATATAAATAAATACACGTTGATAATTATGATATGGTTTGATTGTCCGAACGGAGTGCATTTTCAATCTTCTTGTTTCAAATAAGAGACTTTAAAAATGTAAAAATTTCTAAAGATATGCACTTTTTTATAATACAAGTTTTTTGCCTTTAATTTTCGTTCAAAATTTCTCATATTATGCACAGGAAAATACGGTAAAAATATAAAATAAACAAATCCGTCTTTGATTGATATATTTAATCCAAACATTACTTTTCCATATTTTCGATTACGTAAACCTATCTATTGGGCACATTGTTGATCCTACAAATGTAAAGAAATATTCAATATCTTCTGTTTAAACCCTTCACAATTAATAAAATGTTGTCTGTCTAAAAAAAAAATGTTGTAATGAGATGAAAAGTGGATTGAAGATTGGAGCATTTTCAAGATTGATTGATTTATCTATTTTGGGGGGATATTCAAAATTTTGCAGGTTATTCAAGGCCATAAAATATTATTAGATTGTAAGATTTGGGAGTTTCAAACAATTATTAGCACTAGCCCAAGGGTCCAATCCCCTTAGGTGGTATCTCACCTTCAACTGAAATCCCCAATAGCACCGCTTTGAGCAATTTTTGAACGGATTTCGAAATCACATAATTAACCTCTACCTCGTGTCACATTCTGTTACATGGGCATGCGTATAAATACCTACTTGAAAAAAGCTTTATGTAATAAATTACGCACAATAAGAGTTTAACAATAGGAACTAGTAATAAAATGCATCAGTTATAATACTATATTGTAATAAGGACTATAGTACAAGGTACTCTACCACAAGGTTCATTCTTACCGAAGATCTCAGAATTTTACCTTTCTTATTAGGTCGATAAATGTTACATTTATTAAATCGATAAGTGACCCCTTTTCATTTAAAGGAGGTAATTTACAGTTTGTCTTGTGAGCATTACTATCTTATATCTGGGCCATTATTATCTTTTATCACTCTGTATGTGACTTCATTTGCTATAACAAAGTTTATCCTGCCACTGAAGGTGATCTGATCCCTGAATTTGAATTTGTTTGAATTTCTTAGTTGTGTTGTCATATCCTGCTATAGCAACAAAAAAAATCAACTTTGAAATTAACAATAAGGATAGTGTAAATGGGAGGTCTCGAATAAGGAAGAATTCAGTGGGAATGGAAGTAATATTAATATAGCAGAGTGCTAAAAGTTAGGTTTAGTAAAAGCTATAAATTGCTTATTTTCGAGTATATATATATATATATATATATATATATATATTGGTTATTTTCGAGTATATATATATATATATATATATATATATATATATATATATATATATATATTAGCACTCTGCAAATTAATATTAGTTTCCTGTCCCTAGATAGACAGATAGATGGATAAGTAGATAGATAGATAGATAAAGATGTGATGGTAATCCGTATGGATAATTCCAGGATATAATCCAGAGATCTAAATGTAAAAATAGAGCAACTATTCATTATATTAAGAAACAGACAACTTTCCGGGTCCATTGTGATTACAATTCATATCCTTAGAATCGAAATTCGATTCTAATTCCTCAGACCAACCATTTTCATACAAATAAATTGGTAACAAATATTCCAGGTATATGAAGAATTCAGTATTATTATTTTTAACTTATGCACACATGTGTTTGAGGAGGCAGGAGGGGGTTGATATAAGGGGTGTGGCTCGAAGGAGATGTATATCTCTCGAAATGAAAAAGTGATTGAGGGAGTGGAAGATAAAAGATATGCAAACAAAATTAGGAAAAGAAAAATAGAGATAAAGAAGAAAAGAGAGAGATGTATTTACATTCATCTTAATAAAGATCAATATAATGATGACGTGGAGGTGTGGGGTTTGTTAGGAATGCTAACATCTTTATCAAGTATATCCGTAGAATAGTGGAAGGGGAGCGTAGAAATAAGAGTTATTAAAAAAAGAGATAGAAAGAAGAAAAAATAGAATGAGAGAGAGGGGAGAGGGGGAGAGGAGGGGAGTGGGTGATGGAGAGAGAGGAAACGAGAGAGAGGGGAGGGGAGAGGGGAGGGGAGGGAGGGGAGGGGAGACGGAGAGGAGAGGGGAGAGGGAGAGAGAGAGAGAGAGGAGAGAGACGGAGAGGAGAGGGAGGGAGAGAGGAGGATAGAGAGGAGAGGGGGAGAGAGACGGAGAGGAGAGTGAGGGGAGAGGGGAGGGTTACAGACAGGGAGACGGAGAGGAGAGGAGGAGAGAGATGGAGATGAGATAGGGAGAGAGAGGGAGGGAGAGAGACGGAGAAGAGGGAGAGAGAGGGAGAGGAGAGAGAGGAGAGAGAGGGAGGGAGAGAGAGGGAGGGAGAGAGATAGGGAGAGAGAGGGAGGGAGAGAGAGAGAGAGAGGGAGGGGGAGAGAGAAAGACTAGTCAGGGAAAAATAAAAAAAGGAAGAAGGAAAACATACATGTGGGACTCAAACAAAACATGTCTACGGTCGGATTATGACACTTTAACATTAATATTTAATAATTATAATAATTGTTGAGGGTCCTCCCCTTTTACACAAATGGACTCACCCAGTATATACATATTCTACTGCTACGTGAAGAACGGAGGGCGACACGGGGTGAGGTAACAGCGTTGTAGGTAATTGACAGAAGGCGAAGGTAACAGGCAGAACGAACGTAGCGAGCAAGAGTCACAGTGAGCGAGCACGTAGACTCAGTAAGAAGTCATACAGCGATACTTCAATACCAAAGACCAGTATAGATATTTTGCTACTAACCCGTATTCCTGGAACTACTAACCTGCTTTATCAGTTTGTATTATTACGTTAATACATTATTTTCCTATATTCATTCTTGGCGTTTGTTATTTATTAGTACCGGATTTCAACCCGGAATCCACAACAACAATAACAATAATAAAAATAATAATAATATTTAAAAAAAAAAAGCAACAAATTTCTAATAGAAAAAGAACATGTAAAGGATTTTTAGAAAAGATATAAGCACATTTTTCAAAAATATATTAACGTATATATATATATATATATATATATATATATATATATATATAATAAAAAGGCTTAAACACTAATATTCCATGGTCATAATTTATTCCATTGGAATCGTAAATACGATCCAATTCATCATACCTACAAATTCAAAATGAATATCCTTACTCTGTCCTAGACATTGAGTTCTACCTGGATTCTTCCTCTTGGAATTTTTATTCTAAAAATATACATGTATGGGTATTTATATATTTTGCATATGTATGTATATTTTCCACTAATATTATCTATCTATCTATCTATCTATCTATCTATCTATCTATATATATATATATATATATATATACCCATACACACACGCACACACACACACACACACACATATATATATATATATATGCATATACACATATGCAAAGATACATACACATACACATATTCATGCACTTACGCCTACATACACCCATATACATATATGTGTATTTTAATTTATCGATTATTATTTTTATTTATTCAAAAAATATGTACTCAATAAAAGTTTATTA